GAATATGATTATCGCTATCCATGACCCTGCTGCTCAGTGGGATGTGCTAAGTGAAGACGAAATTAATAGGATCAAAGAACGATGCGAGGAATTATTAGAGTAAGTTTTTCAGTGAATTATAGTACTGTTCGGCTTGGAGGGCTTTGCACTTCGTCTGTTGCTATTTCCTTTGGCTATTCATATTAACTAGCAGATCTAACTTTGGTCAAATCTGTTAAACTTTTTTGGAGCTTCGGAAGTGCTCAAAGTGAGCCATCCAGGCATTTGCAGGTCTTAACAAGGTTCCTGTACAGACTTCGCTAAGTAGCATTTGATGCCCTCTTCAAGCCGAATCGCGCCGAAATTAAATTTTCGATTGTGGGAAATAAGCCTTTTTTTAATGATCTTCCAGCTGGTTCACCTATTTGGATGCTGAAAGTCTCACAAACTATGAAATAGTTGTTCCGAGTGACTATATGCAAAAGGTTAGTTAGTGAAACTGCGGGACGCTTTCAAGAAAGCAATTGTTTTGTCATTTAGCGCAAGAATAAACCGTGTTTCGATCCCCATCAGATGAAGGATATCGCTGATCGTTTTGAAGAAAAGGGTGACATTGATTTCGAAACAGAGTTCAACATGACTCGAGAACAGCTGATACTTGTCATTCTGTGCGCGATCATGGACGGTAAGTACACTTGGCTTCAGAGTCTACTATTTCATCATCCGCCCATCAGCTGGTAGGTGTCATCTTGTACGAAATTGCTTTCTAAACATTGACCCGACAGCTCCTAGGAGCGCCGAGGGTGTGGGAAAGCTGTTTTAATAACCGGATGGTATATCGATGACTTTCTTTGATACACCTTTATTTGTTATGTTATATGAAAAGCACAGATATTCGAGTGAATTTGACGAGCTAGTTGGTAATATCACTCTAGGCTAAGATGTCTGATCCAGGGCGGCAGCTGAAATAGAATTCTCAGACGGCGTTCATACATCGCTACCCGGGCAATTCTGTCGCGCCATTGCGGTTGAGCGCACTTCACCACGAATCTTACGAAGTTCGAAATAAGTTTTTTCTTGACCTTGATTGAATTAGCAGTTGCAGTGGTCCGATTATTGGTTGTGGAACAGGGTTAGTCACAGTCGCGCGATTGAATCGCCGGAGCCGCGAAGTATGAACAGCTCCTAAGGCTCAGGCGATTACCTGGCTCTGTTGGACTTCTGGTGATATGATGAGACTTATGGGTAAAAGCCCAAACCTGTCAATGTCGTGGCAGTCGTTGGCCTAATAAGGATGTGTTTCATTTCCTCTACAGTTCTTAGGCTGTCTTCATACTTTGTGGCCAGGAACAACAGTAGATTCGGCTATTGGACGGTTCGTTGAAGTGAGCGCCAAAGAAGTAGATGGTAATCGATTGACTCCCGTCAGTAGTGCGCGTTCTCTCGATTCGACGATTTTCCTATTCTCCCAGCCGTTAGGGACTGGAATTTATCGGCTGCCATCTTTTCGTTTCGCACTACTTTTCCGAAAACCTCATATCGCCGATACTTTTCCGAAAACGTCATATCGCCGATTCTTCTTTTCTCCCATGTCGAAAAGTACAAACGGTTTCTCACTCTTTTCTTTTTTGACTCTGTTCGCGTCAAAATTTATTTTTTTTTGCGCAGGTCGACTGACAAGTTGGAAATTTGTCTTTCAGAGAATATAGTCGCGAATTGTCAGATTTGAAATTCTTTGCGCAGGCCCACTACAAACTAGACCAAACGTACCTATCACATATGGTGAAGAAATTTTTGACTGGAGATTCCGATGCTCCGAAGACACCAAAATCTTTGATTATGGTAAGGGAGGTCCAATATTTTTGTTCTGTTCTTAAGACACATGGTTACGCTCATACACATTGAGGCGTGTATGATACAACAGCCCCCCACTGTCGATCTGTCGTGATCCCGCCAAACATGCCCAGGAATGGAGATACAGGGCCGTGAAACACGCTAATTCTTCCATGCTCCGCCCACTGCCTTTTTACGGCGCAGATTCCCGCCGTTCATAACATCCGTCGTAAGCGCGCCTGTCGCGTGCGGCTCCTTGGCACTTTGCCAAGTCCTTTAATTGCGCTCTCAAATACAAGTAAAACGCAATTTCCTGATGCGGATAACATTGGAGGTGCTGCAAAATAAGAACAGAAGATGATGACGAGGGTCAGAACTCAAAAGCAACTGTGCCACTTCTGCAACATCCCTCGGAGGCCACGTACTTCCACGAAACATGGAAATAAAAACGGCATACTCGTTAGTTTAATACAAGCAAGGCGCAATTTCCTGATGCGAATAAAATTTGAGGTGTTGCTCATGCTTCAAAATCCATGTACAAGGAGATGAAGATGACACAGGCTAGAAATGAAGCACAACGATGTAAATGTAAACAAAACAAAAATGAAAAAAAAATCAAGGAAAGGCAAATTAGATAAACTGGCCTGTAAATTTCTACGATCCGGCGCCAAAGCCATAGAAATACTTAGAACAAACGAGTGGGACGCTTGGGCTGTTTTTATTTTCATGTTTTGTGGGAATGCGCGGCCCTTGATGGATACTGCAGATGCAGCCGAGTTGCTCTTGAGTTCTGCCCCTTGTCATCGTCTTCTGCTCTTATTTTGTAGCACCTCCAATGTTATCCGCATCAGGAAATTGCGTTTTACTTATATTCGAGAGCGCAATTAAAGGACTTGGCAAAGTGCCAAGGAGCCGCACGCGACAAGCGCGCTTACGACGGATGTTCTGAACGGCGGGAATCTGCGCCGTAAAAAGGCAGTGGGCGGAGCATGGAAGAATTAGCGTGTTTCACGGCCCTGTATCTCCATTCCTGGGCATGTTTGGGCGGGGGACCACGACACATCGACATCTGGGGGGCTGATAGTCTCATACACCCTCAATGTGTATGAGCGTACTATGTGTCTTTAAGATTATTTGTAGGTTACAGCGTGATTTTCCATTTTTAGGAAACCTATTGCAGCCCCATAGATTGTTGTTTAGCTCTCACCATGGCCTATTGTGAGGTAAGCAAATGTGGTGTTTTTGAGTAGCGATTTCTGAAATAATTGAAGGGGTTCTGTGCACTGTTGACCACTGCTGTTACCATGGGTGCTATTCTACTTTCACTTTCCTTTCTTATCAGTGACAGGCTAATCCCGGTTATATTCAGTTCTTGCAAGGCGGAGATTCGGGGTTTACCCCAACGTATTTCTCGTCCCTAGAGCATCCACATGCGTCAGTTAGGCAGCGTTCAGACTTCGCGACGGCAGCGCTTCGTCTCGCGCGCTCGACGCGATTCGATGCAGTTCGATAGCATGCGCATCGAATTCGCGCGAACGCGTACGAAGCGCTGTACGTCGACGAAGTCATGAACCGCCTGCTTTAAGGCAGTTTAGCACGATGATTTCGCTGTGCTTCGCCCTAAAATGGTGGTAGGCGCTATATGTGGGAAATAGCGAAAAAACGGGAGTGAAACGGTCAAAATCCTGCGAAGAAAGAGCCTTCCGTTCTCAATGTGTTCAAAACCAATTTTGGACGAGTTTCCCGTAGGCATCTTGCCAATAACCGCTACCGAAGGTACGGCTGCATATGTGTACTCATATATCCATGCAGCATCACGGCCGGATTTGGGAGCGTCAAGGACGCCGTTCGTCCATTTGTGGGCGGGCGGATGGGCGTTTGCGGTTGGATGTTTGGCTTGATTTAAGGCCTCTATAAGGGCCACCTTCCTTGGAAAAGGGCAATTGTGCAGGCGCTTGCCCTCAGATCGGCGGAATTCCGTTCTGCCCAGGGTAGTAATCCTATCCGTCTGGGGATTAATCGTGCAACTGCCTTCAACTTCAGATAAAGCTGATCGCCCGACGTGCGGAAGTCCTTCGTTGCGCAAGGTGGCGCTTTTCGCAGTCGCAGAGCATGTTTCACTTCCGCGAATCTAAAGTGCTTGATAAAGGCGCCACGGCTATGTGGCGATGAGCTAGCTCCGCCTTGTTGGCTGGATCTGCCTTTATAATTTCATTTCACCATCGCTATAATATGTATGGTATTAACGGTGGACTCTCGATTTATTGTAAATTCTTTCCACAAACCACTTCTTTCTTTTAACCGCTCTGTCCCTTTGCACCATATGCTCATATACTGCTCAGAGCCCGAAGGAGATTTAGATTTAGAGGTTCGATGGTTTTAGCCTGCTTTTATCTTAATATCTCACTTTGGCTACATGATCTCAGCGCCTACTACCCGAAGAACCCAGCGGTTGTTCGTGAGTGCTGCCTTCAAGAAGGTTTCTTCCATGCTGGGTCATGTGCTAGAAATGCATACCGTGGTTGTTCCTCGGTCTCGCTAAGAAGTTCCTCCTCTTTATAAAATATAGAAGTAGCGTGGTGGTAGTCGGGTAAAGAAGCAGAAACGGTGAGCATGTTGCAGAGGGAGGTCTGAAAGCGGTAGCGCTCCCATCATTTGTCGCGAAGGTCGTGCGCAACGTTGTATGGTAAATTTTGATGTGCATCCTAGTGCGTGGAAAATTCTTGCTAATTACGAATTCCGACCAAACATCCTAATCTTTGGCCCCATCATCTATACGACCCCAACCCTTTTCGCAGCCTACCTTCTTCTTTCAAAAACTTTTGTCGAATTTTCGCCATAGACTTTCTAGCGAGGTAAATATCTCCAACCACCTATCAAAAGTAGTTTTGTTGTTCCGCTAACTAGGGATTATATAGCGAGTAATACTTTCAGTGTCCAGGTGCGATCCAATCCGTTGCGATTTACACGTGATGTGCACTGTTATCAGCTCGTGCTCCATGTTGTTACCTGATTAGTGTTTCATAGCTCGAATTGTCTGTAGCCCTGGTGTCATATTTCAGGTTAGCGGTTGGCCGTTTTCATGTGATTGGAGCGCCATCAGTTACTCAACGAAGACCTGGACTGAAGAAGAACAGAGTGAGTTCGAGCAACTCACACGAGAGGAGGCAAAACGGCAATGGGACGCCACAAAGGCTTTTGTTATGAACCCATCGTCAACCGATTTCCAACCAAGTGATTATATGAGGTGAAATTCAGGCCAATAGTAGCATTTATCTCTGAATGTTCCTCGTGAACGTCTCTTCAAAAGTTATTCGTTGGTTTAGGCAATGTGCCGCAATGGAGAACCAACTTAAAGCTATGGTCTCGACGGCGGACAAGGTTCATGCTGAAATGCAAGAGCTTGTCACTGCTATGGGCGCGGCTGCCTTGGTGAGTGTGGTATCCTTTTTCCTAGTGTACCGAAATTTCAGGCTGGTTTTCGTTGGTTTTTCAGCCAATATTTTGCACCGCATAGTACAATTTTTTAAATTTGTCCGATATAAAATACATTTAAGAGTATTGTTTCGATTTGTATACAGTACCGGTGTAAATGAGTTGAGGATTTCAGGCTGAGAAACACGACCAAGTGGTGAATGAGCGCCGGGATGCGATAAGCAACCTTGTTCCACCGAATTTACGTGATAGACCACCGCTGACAGAAGAAGAGTTGGAAAATGTGAGATTTTTTCAACAATTTATCTTTTCTATCGCAGTTATAATCTCAACCATGAGAGTTAAAATCTCAACCACCCAACTCTCCTTAGGAAAACACCGATACAGTGGTCATCACTGAAGTCAGTAGGGGCGGGGAGTAGGCTTTGACGCCAGACATTTCCATCAATCGTTGCGATTTGGTCCTTCGTGAAGGGAAGGAAAGGGACAGGCGCGGTGCTAAAGCCCAGTTAGGCCGCGTTCATAGCTTGCGTTCGTGAGGAAATGCGAAATCTGCGAGAAAAGCAATAGTATCAACTTGATCGACTTTGAAGAAATGCAGAAATGCCGAAACTGCAGAAGTGCGGAAAGTGCAGAAGACGAAAAGCATTACATACGTATCGATTTGAAGAAATGCAGAAATGCCGAAAGTGAAGAAATGCGGAATCTGCAGAAATGCCGAAAGTGAAGAAGTGCGGAATCTGCAGAA